TGGGAAGAATACAAAGAAGTTGTCTGAGCAGGCAGTGATCGGGTAAAGAAAGCTAAAGCCCAGATAGAATTAAGTATGGCCAGGGACATCAAGGGTAACAAGAAAAATTTATAGGTGTGTCAGTGATAAAAGGAAGACTAGGGAAGCTGTGGGCCCTCTCCGGAAGGAAACAGGAGAACTGGTCACAAGGGATATGGAGAAGGCCGGGGTTCTCAATGACTTCTTTGCCTCAGTCTTCACTGGCAAGGGCTCTAGCCGCACCGTCCAAGTTCTGGTGGACTTTTATGATGGAGTTACAGCATCAACTGACAAGGGAAAGGCAACTGATGTCATCTGTCTGGACTTGTGCAAAGCCTTTGACACTGTCCTGCACAACATCCTGGTCTCCAGATTGGAAAGACAAGGATTTGATGGATGGAACACTTGGTGGATAAGAAATTGGCTGGAAGGATGCACTCAAAGAGTTGTGATCAGTGGCTCAACATCTGAGTGGAGACCAGTGACAAGCGTTCGTCTGGGATCAGTACTGGGACCGGTGCTATTTAACATCTTTGTCAGCAACATGGACAGTGGCATCGAGGGCACCCTCAGCAAGTTTGTCAACAACACCAAGTTGTGTGGTGAGGCTGACACGCTGGAGGGAAGGGATGCCATCCAGAGGGACCTGGACAGTCTTGAGAGGTGGGCCCAGGACAACCTGATGAAGTTTAACAAGGCCAAGTGCAAGGTCCTGCATCTGGGTCAAGGCAATCCCAAGCACAGATGGAGGCTGGGCAATGAGTGGACAGAGAGCAGTCCTGGGGAGAAGGACTTGGGCGTGCTGGTGGATGACAGGATGAACACGAGCCAACAGTGTGCGCCCTCAGCCCAAAAGGCCAACCGTATCCTGGGCTGCATCAAAAGATGTGTGGCCAGAAGGTCAAGGGAGGTGATTCTGCCCCTCTATTCTGCCCTCGTGAGACCCCACCTGTAGTACTCCAGCTCTGGAGCCCCCAACACAAGAAAGACACGAAGCTGTTGGAGCGAGTCCAGAGGAGGGCTTCCAAGATGGTCAGAGGGTTGGAACACCTTTCCTACAAGGACAGGATAAGAGAGTTGGGCTTGGTCAGCCTGGAAAAGAAAAGGCTCCAGGGAGACCTTATAGCGGCCTTTCAGTCCTGAAGGGGGCCTACAATAAGGCTGGGGAGGGACTTTTTACAAGGGCCTGCAGTGATAGGATGAGGGGGAATGGTTGGAAGCTGGGAGAGGGCAGGTTTAGACTAGATACAAGGAAAAAGTTCTTCACCCTGAGGGTGGTGAGACAGGTTGCCTAAGCAAGTCGTGGATGTTCCATCCCTGGAAGTGTTCAAAACCAGGTTGGATGGAGCCTTGAGCAACCTGGTCTGGTGGGAGGTGTCCCTGCCATGGCAGTGGGGTTGGAACTAGATGATCTTTGAGGTCCCTTCCAACCCAAACCATTCTATGATTCTATGATTCACGTAATAATTCTTCATGGAGGGATGATTTTAAAGTTCTTCTTCCAATACTAGGCCTCTTTTTATACAAGGAATTCCGAGGAGAATCACACGATAGATTTTGGGGAGGAATATTTGTCCAATAAACACAGCTGTACAAAACTCGACAAAGCTTTGTTTGTCTCTCATTTGAAACAGAACACCAGAGGAAAGCCAAATTATGTTACTGAAGTAAAGGCAGTACATACTTGTATCTGTCAGCTTTCTACCCAACCTGCATTTTGTACAGAAAGGATTCCAAAATTACTGAGTTCAGACCCTAGTTCTCCAGCCTACTAGACAAGCTAAGTGCTAGACAAGCAACCTTTGTTTATATGTATTATTATTCATTTACTTTTTGGCATCCATTACTAAGAGAGGCAACTGCGTAAGAAAGCTTATAAACTCCAGAACTGACTTGTACCCTGGCTATAACTTTAGTCCATATTCCTAGACTTTTTGCGGATGTTCATAGCTACAGATCCAGCCCTAAACACCAAGAATGGTAATGCTACAATCACTGCTATTAGGGCAGAATGACACCTTAAACCTGACTCTGGACCCCTCAAATCAAGGGCATCTGATATACACAGCTACAACAGCCACAGTGAAAAACTTCACAGGAAAGAACAAACACTTGGTCAAGCAATCTTTTCCCTTTAAAATACTGCTGAAAAGGAGGCTTTATGCTAAAGTACAATCACAAAAAAAAAAAGATTATTGTTCCCCTCTAGTTCTACCAGCAAACGAACATCAGATACTCGTTTTAATAGCCAATGACTTTCCCTCTATCTTCCTAGATGTTTTTCTGCACTGATTTTGCTTTAAATAATTCAGAAATGTTTCTCTGTATAACTGAGTAACTTTGGAGATAGATAATCATGCCCACAGCTGAAAAGCATGACATAGTTAAAAAAAAAGTCTAATATTTACCCTTCTGTTTGACCCACTGTGAATCAAAATGTAATGCGGCCCTTTGTTATTCATTACTTTACTAAATGCATCCGTTTCTTCAAAAAGTGTCTAGATTGAGTCCTCTGAAGCAGAACATACACACATTCACCTGCAAATTTAACTATAAACAGTTACC